TGCAACTGAGGTACGTGCCCTTGACTGGAATTGAACCCGAGAACCTTCAGTCCACAGGCCGACGCTCTAACCACTGAGCAAACTGGCTAGAGCCAGGTTCCCATTTATGACACTACCACCTAGCAGCTTTCCCCCGACCTCCCAAATCTGGGTTAGGGGCCTCTCCTAAGTGCACCCAGAGCACTTTCACCCTCTTTCATAACTAACCCTGCTTGCTTCTCTATATCCCCAATTGGATTTTTGAGTGAAAACAATGTCCATTTTATCATGTATATCTAGCACCTAGAACAATGCCTGGTACATATCATAGATGCAATATTCATTAATTGAATAAATGAATGAAATAAGCCTCTGTCTCCTAAGGTGGTGTTTTCAATGTATAATTTCCTACTTAGCTCTAGAGCTATGTTAAAAGGATCCCTCCAGACCCGAATTCCTAGTCATCCTGATGGATTTTGCCCCACTAAATGGGTGATGCTTGTGTGTACTTAACAGTATCAATTAATAATTTACTTTGGTGAGAAGGCTCAAAGTAACTTTAGGGTTCCTAAGGTTGCCAGCAACAAATAAATGCAATAAAACTCAATTTAAAAAAATCAAGTGGAATGTGTCCACATTTGAATGCTCCATCTGCAGAATTAAAGATGTACCCCCTCCTCCCCCACTGCCAGGGAATGGATTACTCCAGGCTTTCCAGATAATTGCCTCTTAGGCAATCCATGTCATCATAAGTAAATTCAATTTTTTGTGTGTGTGTGTGTGTTGATTTACTATTCATTAACCCTGCTCTTACAAACAGAGCCCCAAAATGGTTATAAAAGTTTATGGCCTAGCCCAGAACCTACATAGTTTGTTCTCTGTCTCTTCTAATATACCTCTTATCCAAATATATATATGCATAATCACACCCAAAAGGACAGCTGGGAGAGCTGACTTTCCAACTTCATAGGAAGTTACTCACCTGACAAGCTCCAAAGGGCTTGCTCCTTTTTTCTTGCCATTTCCTCTTGAATTTCACACAGCATTTGTTCAATGATTAGAACCACCTCAAGGAGGTCAGGCTGGGCTCCTTTAATCTCTAAAATTGCCTTTCCCAGACTGAGAACCTCTGAGATAGAGACCCTTGAGGTGTCCTGAAGCCGAGACAAGGTGTCATGTTCCTTTTTTCCAAGGTAGAAGATATGATTATTCTCAATGATGTGCGGGCCCTGGTGGGCCAGTGTCCTTTGGATCCACTCTTGGGCCTCAAACATCTTATCCTGGTTAGATCCCATCAGATTGATGGCAGGAGATTTAGCTTTTAGCTCATTTTCTTGGTTCTCTCTGGTTCCCTGGGGGACTGAAAAGACTATTATAAGCAACCACAGAAGACTGGTGGGTTTTAAACCAGAGCAGAACAATACACCATGGCCAGTGTTTGCCCCAGGATATTGTCACCATGGTCTGCCATAGCAGCTTCAATTAAGTACTATCTCTGAGAGCCGTGCAGGGTATAAAGGAAATCTAAATGTATAGTTTCCAGTTTCCTTGAGAACACAGTTAGCTTGTAAGAGGTTGGATTTATCATGTCTTGCCCCTGCTGTGTTGCATTTACCAATATACAGATTCAAACATCTCAGAAAGCCGTAGAGCTTAAAGATTGAAAATACCTTTAAAAAATGTATTTCTGGTGGTAAAAATAATAGATGTTTATTGCTGAAAAACTGGAAAATTATCGAAGTAGAAAGAAAGAAGGAAATACCTGTAATTCCACTACCTAGGATTCCTGTTTACATCTTATCTGTGTGTGACAGGACCTTTTGCACCTGCACAACCAGAGCTGGGAGCTTAGCAGCTCCTGCTGCTGGACACAGTATATTCCAGCAGAAAAGGAAATGGAACTTGATTCATACCCATCCATGTATACCTCTCTCTGCAACCCCCTCCACAAGGAGTAAAGATATGTATCAAGAAGAAGAATCACTGCCCTGGCTGGTGTACTCAGTGGTTAGAGTGTCAGCCTGCGCACGGAAGGGTTCGATTCCCAGTCAAGGGCATGTACCTGGGTTGCAGGTTCAATCCCAGCCTTCCATTCTTTCTAAATATTAATGGGAAAAATATCCTCAGGTGAGGATTAACAAGGAGAAGGAGAAGGAGAAGAATTGCTGATGGATTAGGGTGGCTCTGAACCCAAACTGCAAAAAAACACACCAAAGTAATGGGGGGATGGACTAGTTGAGAGAGAATTCATAGGTGAGGCAGTATCTAAAATACAGAAAGAATTCCCTCAAATCATTAAAAAAAGGAAACAATCCAGTAGCCAGGTAGGCAAAAGAATTCACAGAAAAGGAAACACAAATGGCCCACGTACGTGTGAAAAGATGTTCCTCTTCATTGGTAACCAGGAATATAAAAAATTACCAGATTGGCAAAAATTCATATGTCTGACAATCTCAAGTGTTGGGAAGGGTGAAGAACAACTGGCATTCTTTCGTATTCATGATTGATGTAAACAATCACTCCTGTAATCATAGTAGTTAAAGAAACTTTGGCACACATGTATCAGGGAACGTGTACAAGGAAGTTTGCATTCTTGTTTGGAACAGCCAAGACCTGGAAATAACCCGTGTCCTTCAACAATGGAATATTATAGCAATGAAAAGTAGTGAATTTAGCTACATGGATGAATCTCAGTAACATATTTTGAGGGGGAAAAAGTAAGTTGAGAACTTACTATGTTCTAGGTGTTATTCTAGGAGCTTTACATATGTCACTCAATCCTCACAACCCAATGAGACAGATACTATTAGTAGCCCCATCTTACAAATGAGGGAATGAATTCAGAGTTAGTAAGTAACTTGCCCATGGTTTTAGGACTAGTAAGTGGTGGCCATGGAATTAGTAGGTGTGGGCAGTCTGACTCCAGTGCTCACACAATTCTGCCTCCCAGTGAGTGATCCCAGGACAATAGTGGCAATTAGCATATTTTACCTAATGTAGTAGTTGGGTGGTACCAGGAACTATGAAAAAGTATCAGGACAGGCCTAGAAGAGAGGGAAGATGGTCTCCCACTGAGTAAAAATATAAACCAATGTTTTAGACAACTCTGTGTGTGTGTGAGTGTGGGTGTAGGGGTGTTTTTTTAATTTAAAAATATATCTTTACTGATTTCAGAGAGAGGGAGAGGGAGAGGGAGAGAGAGAGAGAGAGAGAGAGTTGAAACATCAATGATGAGAGAGTCATTGATCAGCTGCCTCCTGCACGCCCCCGACTGGGGATTGAGCCCGCAACCCGGGCATGTGCCCTGACCAGAATTGAACCTCTATCTCTTGGATCTTGGGCTGATGCTCAGCTGCTGAGTCATGCCCGGCTGGGCAGGGTTTGGTGAGGGGGGTAGGGGGTGGGGAGGTTTAACCGTTGTTCTGCTTGGGAGCTTACATTATTTTTCAGGAGAAAATAAAAACAATACATGTTGATAATTTATTTATCACTATCATGAAATAAGAACTGTTCTAGGTAACTACATTGTTCAGATCACTTAAAGGATACTCTTCTAACACCAAAACATACTTAATTTTAACTATTAGTTAAATATTTCTAATGGAACCACACTGCCTTCCTAAACGGTTTAACTTTTCCTTTATAATCTGAGATCATCATCATTCGTCATTATTAATGTCAATTATTGTCCTGGGCTATAATTCCTTTATAGATGTCCTTAAGAATTACTGAAGCAAATGGTAATAATGCCTGGCTCCATAATTCAGATAAATGGCACAGCAACATTTGTATGTTTCTTTTTCATATTATTCCCACCCAAAACTCCTGCTATCTAGCATCCCCAAACATGCGCTGCGTTTGTTTGCTTCTGTGGGCTTTCTTCACCTTGGGTGCCCCACCCTACCAACTCTGGTCATTGAAAACCTTGCCATCCTCAAAGCCAAGCTTAGAACCATCTCATCCATGAAGCTCTTCTTGATCCCTTGCAGTAGAAGGAATCTCTCCCTCCTCTTGGCTACAAGGGAAGTTTGTCCGTTCATTATTTATCCCCTGGCATTTATTTCATGCTTTGCAATTTACAGAACATTTTTACATACATAATCTCTAATCCTCACAACAGTCTGCCATTATCATTTTACAGATTAACATAAACAGGTTCATAAGAAGTGCAGTCACAGACCAGGGCTCTTAAAATACCCCCTTTATTTCCAGCACTGCTGGACCACTGAACATCCATAACTGAACTCTTCTATTAAAAGGTATAAACAAATCATTTTGACCCTAATGGGAAATCTCCTAACAGTTTCTATTGCTGGTTGAATGTCTAGTGTTCTTAACATCTACCGAATACTTTAGATGAAAAGACTATTTCAGATGTACACAACCTAGCTGTCATGAGGCAATTCCATCTCAGTTCACCTAAACTCCACTGAAGGAATATAATTATAAGACAAAGTTAAACATTCTCCAGCTCCCAACAACCAGGATTGGTTTAGTTCCAGTGATCCCCATACGTGGTTCAGTAGCAAAACTACTGAAAAAGGGGGCATTGAAAAATACACATGCCTGGCCCAGACCCAGAGTTCCTAAATCAGAATCTGTAGAGTTGGGGCTTATACATACGATTGTTGGTGTGCTTGCTTTTTAAAGCTTCCATTATGATCCCAGTGATTACTTAGGTTTGGGTAGCATTGGATTAATCCATTTATTGTTATCTGGTATTACTGAGATGTGTTTTCTATAATTATTAAAGGGTAACTCCATTAAGATGGTTGCTCATTCAAAGTAGAAAGAGTGCTGGCTAAGTCAGCTTTTGAAGGGCAGAACTTCTTCTTAGAAAAAAATTATACACAGCATTTGTAAATGAACTATCCACACTGTGGATTACCTAATGCAACTTTGCCTCGCTCTGCTCATATCGTAAAACTGGACTGAGCAAGAACTCGGTCAGGTATAGAGCAGGTTGGTATCTAAGCAGGAGCACAATGAAATATATTTGGCTTCTTTATTATTCTTCTTCCCTCCACTAGTTTAGATGACCAAGAACAGAATGAGCCTCGGGTGGGAGATGCTACTTCTAGGCCCATATATTTCTTACTCACCACTGTAGTTGTTGGGAGGCTGCAGCTTGGACTTACTCTTCTCCATTGCAGTCATGAAAGCCTACAAGAAGCAAAACAGAACAGGGCTTTTAACCAATGTCATCAAAATCCCTCCCTCTACCTGCACACACCACACTTGACCTCATCCACTCTGTGAGTCCCCATTTCCACTGCTACATATATAAAGCGGCCTGTAGGAAAATCTTGGGGAACAGCAAGTACAGCGCCACAATCTATTGGAATATGTAGGGGAAACAAGTATAGGAAAAATGGAAAGAAAACCAAAATCTGGTATAAAAAAGAAGAACGTATATTCCAAGGCAAATATTATCATTCATTCATTCAACAGATATTAATGCCTTGCTTATTGTGTGTTAGGCACTGAACTAAAGCTCTGGATATGGCCCTGAAGAAGAAATATACACAGGCAGATGCTCTTGTAATTAATAACATAAATTCATATTTAAAAAGTTATATACACATTGCTTTTTCTGTAGATCAAATAAATGATCAATTCCTATAAAGTGCTTAATATTGTATCTGGCACTTAGTAAATATTCAATATGTTAGTTATTGTAATTATTATTACATGGCAGTCTATGGACAAAGATTTGTCTATTTCAAAAAACAAAAACAAAAAAACTCATCTCTCCTAGAGTTTGGAATTACCATAAGCAGCGTCTTCCTTTTTTAAAGTTGATACAATTGGCATTAATTGCTTCATGGAAAAGATGGTAAATAATGAAGTGAGAGCTAGATTTTGCTTTGCATCTGAAACTTGAACAATAAAATTTCTTAATCTGTAGGCATTTTCTTCATGAATTATATTTGCAGCTGCTATTTCCAGAGCAAAAAGCCCTCCATCTTACCATATTTTGTACCTGGAGAGGTCATTATGGGGCATTTCCCTGCACTCCCTATCCAAAAACTTGGAAAAAAACAAATAAGATAACATCGTCTGCTGATAAATAGATTAAGAAGAGCTGCCAACACAAAATGGATAAAAATCAGCTCTCTCTCAAAGTCCCTTTAAATGTCAGGATGTGTTGCAGGGTGAGAAGTCAATCAGGCAAGGCTTTTGAATTAAATTTGAAAGAAATCAGTAACTTAATTAGTATAATAACTTAGAAGAAATGTGTAGATAACAAGCAGGTGGTCTGTAAGTTTGGAAAAGTGGAACAATATGGCAAGAATTTGGCAGTTTTTCCAGCTCTGTCCACAAATGACCAATGCCTAATGTGAGGACGTTAGTAGTGTGTTCCTAAAGAGGTGTTCCTTATTCTGAGACATAATGCCTGGCACAAGGTAGATACACAATAAATATTTGTTAACTCAACAGATGAATGATTTTCCATCACAGGATTGGGGGGAGAATGGAATGAGTTTCTTAGCACAGTACTTGGCTGATGTAATACAGGGCAGCTATTTTTATTTTCAGCCCTCAGACTGTGGTTAATCTTTCTACATTTATTGAACTTCCATGTACATTTTTTATTGTAGTTTGGAAAGAATGAACCTTCTTTTCTAGATGTGGCTAATTCCTCTTGTAGGGATATGGTCCTTCATGAACAGTACAAAAATATACTCAGAACACCTATGTGGGCCCAGTTATAGTCCTCTGCTTGGGGGAACTGGTGGACTTCATTTGAAGGACAGGATGATTCATTTTGTCAAGAAGCAGTAATTCACCACCTTGTTGCAGGTCGGCTGGGACGAGACACAGTGGTATGCTGGCAGAGGCTGACAATGGCTCACAAGAGCCCATTGTTCACATGTCTTCTCAACTCCACCTTCAGTGGTGTCACACTGATAGTTTGAAGTCAGCAGGGGAAATCAGCAACACTACAAACCTCCTTGTGTCTAGTCAGGCAGCAAAAGGAGTAAGAACCTTTACACTTGTTCCTGGAAAGAGCAGGTTGGAACCAATATAAATCTGTTTTCCTGTACAAGGAGATAAAATGGCAACCACCCACATGGAGACAGGCTGAGAGAGGGAAACAGGACTAATGTTCGGAGCCACTCTGGGCCGGGCACTCAGAAGACCCTTTACCCCCAGAACCCAGACACACGCCTGGGAGGTCGCACTAGCACTTCCATGTTGCTGTAGATAGAATCAGAAACTTAATGTCTTCAAAATCTAGTGTAAGGTAATGTATCTTCTCTCATTTCTTTTTTAGTTTTCCTTAACATCATTAAAGTCCTTTCTGAAAATGCCAGCTAAGCGAGAATAAAGCAGAGATGGCACTTTAAAGGCAGCACAGAAATACTAATTATGCTGAATATATCAACGACCTATTCACATGTGAGAAACTCAGCTGACCTGGCCACTTGAGAGCAAAAAGCTGAGATGCAGTGAAAACGAAAGAAGCTGGACACCAGATCTCTGCACTCAGACACATATAGACACTTGCCCCTGCCCCCCACATGTCCCTCCATTTGTGTCAGACCACAGCTGATTTCCTTCTGAAGTCACCTACAGACGAGTTAAGAAAGAATAGATTGAATTTGAGGGCAATACTGGGGACATGGCAAAAGTAGTTACATATACTCTTGATGTTAAAAAACTTATACTCTAATTGGAAAAAAATAATTCACTTAATTTAGTATTCAGTTCAGCACTTAAGTGAACTGCAGCTCATTACAGCTAATATGACAGGAGTTACTGTATGCCAGGTACTGTTCTAAGTGTTTTACATGTATTAACTCACTGAATTCTCACAACAGCTCTCTAAGATGGTAGTTATTATACCCATATTAAAGCTGAAGAAACTGAGGTACAAATAAGGAACTTAACTGGCCCACAGACATTGATTGATTGGAGGGGAAAAGACAAAGAATTTGCTTTAAATATGTTAAATTTAAGATGAGAGTCAGGTATCTAAGTGGAAATGAGAGAGAGTTGGGGATGACGGTTGGGGATGGAGTTGGCTCAGAAGATAGGATTCTGCAGAAGTTATGGCAGAAGTTTAAGAACAGCTGTGTTCTTAGAGGAAGAAAGAAGAGAGAGGAGCACAGGACCCCACACTGAAACTAGGAGTTTGCTTACCTTTAAGGACCAGAGGGAAGAATAAGTGCCAACAAAGGAAAAGAGGAAAGCTAGGCAGTGGGTTAAACATGGTTTCTCTAATGGCGTTCTTTACTATGCTTGAAGTGGAAAATTTATAAAAGTTAAATTTCACCAAATTAGAATATCACCACGCCATACAGTTTAGCCCCATGTCTTACACTGGAGATACTAAACAGATGTGACTGACTGAATGAATGAATGAATGAATGAACGAACGAACGAACTGTAGGACATTTCTAAGATATTAACTTACCTTACATGTCTCCAGTTCTTCAGGCAAGATCACAAACTTTATAGTTAGCGGTTTACCAGAAGAGTTTCTGGCAAACATTAAAACTTCATCAAACATAATCTCTGCTGCTTTCTCCTTCCTAATGCCAATGAGTCCAGTTCCAAGGGCAGGAAAAGAAATGGAAGTTTTATTTAGCTCATGGCATTTTTCCAAACACTCCTTCATTGCATTTTTCAATATCTGTAGGGGGGGAAAAAACAATTTTAAGATCAGTCTTCAAATCAAAAATAAGACTTCACTTACCCCTTGATCTTGCCCATGTTTAACAATGTTAGTCTCCACTCTCCCTAGGGGCTGTGTCCACGCCTCCTCAGAGGGCAGGAAAAGTCCCACTCCATAGGGAACCCACTACAGCTATAAGGTTAAATGATGAAAAACGAAAGGGCTGAAGAAACTGAAGTAACTGAGTGGTCCTTTATGTGCTATTCAGGACCTTTGGGCACCATGATTTTCCCCAGTTTATGTGGCCTTGCTGACCCGCCCAGTTTATCTCCACTCACCTGCCACTTCCAGGTCAACATAAAGAGCTCCTGGGAGTTTCATAAAGGAGACAGAGGGTAAAATAAGCAAGCAGCATTTATTCAGTGTCACTTAAGGTCTGTCATGTAATTTCTCCTTGAGAAGTGCTAGTATATTTGGCAGATTTAAACTTTCTCTTAATGTTTCAACATCCAAACTGAATACTAACACCGGGAGGTTGACCTTGGAAAACTGAGGGGTAGAGATGACTGGAGGACCAATTTGGGGTTACAGGGCCCTCTAGCCAGGAAAGAGCCAAAAATGGTGACAAAATATAGACTAAGGCAGGTGGGAAGGCACCACAGATAGTAAGTTTGACCAGCATGGTGCTAGAAAGGAAATCCCAGGTCCTCCTGGAATTTAACAGATGGAGGGAAATATGGAGAGGCTGCCTGCCGGGCCCACTTGGGAAACGGCCTACAGGGTCACAGTGTGGTGAGGTGGATGGGTGTGCAGACTAATGTTTCTGTGCCTATTGGCGGTACGCCCACTTAAAATTTAGACATGTATTAGGTAATATTTTAGATTGAACTTCTTAAGATAATTTATTAAGACCACAAGAGTTATTCATTATTTCAGGTGTTTACAGGAGTGGTAGAAAATGGGGACTATACCACTTGACAATATTTCATGAATATAATGGCATGATGGAAATTCAACAAAGACCACACAGACTACAAGCTACATAGATAAATTTATTGTGACCTTACCAGAACTTGTCCAGAATATTCTGAAGGCCACAACACATGGAATATATATTGACAGGACAATCCGAATCCTCTTGTGACCAGTAGCAGCTGGGAATCCTGAGATTTCAGACTCTGTTCTTTGATAAATTCCTCTTCCATTGCATTTCCTGCTTTTTGTAAAACTGATTTTGACACAGGACCAGATCTGATACCAGATTCTGGATGAACAGAGTTAACAATTATATTCGTCTGAAAGGGGAAAAATGGACAAGATTCCTTGTTAAATTACTTTTTGTTAAATGACTAATTTAAATCTTTATATCCCTGAAGAGCTTTGAAAAATACTTTTGAAGATCCTAAATTCACAAAAAATACCATTTAATAATGGATAGAAACTCATATTTCCAAAGAACGATCATCTGATCAGTCTGTTTATCCTATTCAGTAATTAGGTAAGGTGTGTGGATGATACAACTTTTATTGCAAATATCTGTCAGCCCCTTGCTGGCTTATACCTCCCATATCCCCAGATTCTGAGCATTCCCTGTGATTTATTTTAAGTTTTATTAATGAATGGTTTCATTCCCTGCCCCACTGTCATCTCTTTTTGCTATTTTTGTGTGAATTTTCTATTTTGCTTTAAACAGAGCAGAAGTAAAATTTCTCAGGAAATTTCTACCTTCTATTTTTTTTTTTTTAAAGTTTAGTAGTACATGGTTAAAGAAAGTAAAAATGAGACAAAAAAATCTTCAGTGAAAAGTAGGCCTCCATCTTGGTGGGGTCCTCAGATCCCGCACTCACCCACCTGTCCTATAGGCAAATGCTTTTACCAGTTCTTCGTATGTCCTTTCAGAAACAGACTGTACATTCATATGGGCTGTATTTACATTTTAAGTAATATCACCTACTTAGCTGTAAGAACTGTGCTAAAAGGGTTGTAATCTTTTTCATCCGCCATGCCCAAATCCCCCTAAATCATCTTGATGGTTTTGGCTCCCTTTGGGGGTAACTTAGGTATTTCTTATAGATGTTAATTAATGCTTCATTTTGAAAGTACAATCAGAATTTGCAATTTGGGGGAACTGGCCCCCTTTAAAAATTTTAAGGTTCCTAATGTTCTTGGCAATAAATAAATACAATAAAATTTTAGTTAAAGGAACAAGTTATTCAATCAGGATGTTTCCACTTTAATTTCAAATTGGCATATTAATGACTTATCAAATAAATACATTGGAACCTCGGTTCTTGAACTTAATTCATTCCGAAGGCTGTTCGAGAAGTGATTTGTTTAAAAACCGAATCATTTTCCCAATAGAAATAATGTAAATTGAATTAATTTGTTCCAGACCCCCAAATGATTTCCTGTTTTAACCTTTCTTATATACAGTACATGTCTAAGCTCTATCATTATTCTCACAACTTTCCTTTTTACTTTGCTGCTATCACTAACCTTCTTAGGACCCATGGTGACTTACTGTACATATTTAATAATAATAAGCAGCAACAAAAACAAAACATGAAAATATTCACAGCACAATTTCCTGAGATGTTAACAGTTCGGGGTTTAGGGGTAAACTCACTCATACTCGAGCATTCTCTCCTTTGTTGCCTGAGAGACGTGTGACTGATCATACAGGTATCAGAATGAAAGGGTTCTAGAACTGAAAGTTTTGTTGGAAAACTGAGACATTTTTCCATGAACAACTTGGTCAAGAACCGAATTGTTCAAGATCAGAGATGGTCAAGAACTGAGGTTTGACTGCATTGCATTTTGTGGGGGTCCCCTCAACCTTCTTTCTATTGTCTTGCAGGCAGTACGTGGTATTTTTTCACATACGATTAAGTCTATTTGATTGTGACCAAAGGAGAGTCTTAAGTATGACATCATTGATCCAGAAAATAAAAAGAATATTTATATTCTTTCTCTTTTTCTGTTGCAGCCCCCTGCTCCCTGCTTCCTCCTTCACTTATTCACCAATAATTTGCTAACACCTAGAAGCATGCCCAGATTGGGCTCTGGGGCTACAGAGATGAACTAGCCATGATCCCCATCCTCAAGGTGCTCTCTGCCTAGCAAGGGAGCTGCATTAACCCAGAAATACCTAGGTTCACTGTTACCCTGACTCCCTCCCCTCCCTGCCTGAGTCCTCTCCTTTGAGCTCACTGAACCCTGGCTAAATGCTAAGTCACACTTCATATCCTCCTGGCCCCTGGCACAGAGCCATATACTCAGAAAACAACTTACAGCCCCACCTAAGCCTCCTGACTGGTCCAGCCCATTATTTTCTATCTATTATCCTCTGTGTTTCTCTGATCAAGTCATTCTAACAACCAGGACATTCCTCCTGGCAATCCATATCCATTATAACTTGAGATCAGATCCAAAACTCACATCTTCTGAAGTAATCTTTCTTAGTCCACTCCACTCTTGTCACAAATTGACATACTCTTAAATACTATGAATTTGTTTTGTATTAAGATTTTTTTGTTTACTCTTGGTAGGTTGCTTCAGAAATGTTCAGATCGTTTGTCTACCAATGAGACTTTTCAAATAAAGAATTTTTTAACATAAAAAGAGTATAATAGCTTTTAAGTTCCTTGGAATCAAGGACTGTTTTATTTCCTCATGGTGCCTAAGAATAATACCAATAATAGTTATAAATACTTGTCATGTGCCGAGCTCTATTCTAAGCATTTTATGTGTATTGATTCCAACTCTAAGATATAAGTGTTATTATTACCCTCATTTTCCAGATGAGGAAACTGAGGACCAAAAGATAAAGTAACTAGATTCACGTCACCCAGTTAGTAAGTGGCAAAGCTAGTATTCAAATCCAGATGGTCCATCTCTAAAGTCCATACTCTTAACCTTAACAAGATTAAACAGTGTTTGAAATAGTATATACTCAAAACATACTTGATAGGTAATAAACAGTTCAGGGATCCCCTTTGGCAGTGCAAGAGAATAGAAACAAAGGCTTACCTCCTGCAGTTCGATGTGGCCTAGGACAATCTGGAGAGTCAGGCTGTTCACAACCATTGTATTGGAAGGAAGGATGGCTCCTTGACTCACCAAGGTCCCCAGCTCATTGCTCCCTAGGAAGACTTCGGAAGCAGTTTTAAAGGCATCAACAGTAGGGCCCTCGTTGCTTACCAGGTGAATTTCTTTTAAATTATAGGCAGGGTTCTTCCTTTGGAAATGAACGATAGTTTCCACAATGGTGCTTGTGCACAAATTCAGAGGGAACCGGAAAATCCCAGAGCTTAGGGCTGGAATTGCTACTGTCTCAGTGTTGTGCAGATGGCCAGAAGTGACACACGTCAGAATATTTACAATGGCCTTTCGCAGAAAAATGATACATCTCTCTTTCTCCGTCTCCACCCACTGAGGCCCAACAGCATGAATAATGTGTTTGCAGGGAAGCTTCCCTGCTCCTGTGACAGCTATCTCACCAGTTGGTATTTTACCATGTGTGGAAACAACTTGTATACTCTCCTCTTGGATTTCTTGGCCGCCAGCTTTCACCAGGGCCTGGGCCAGGCCTCCCCCATGTCTAAGTTCTTCATTGGCTGCATTCACCACAACATCAACAGCATGTCTGGTGAGGTCATCCTTCCAGACAGATAGCTCTAGCCCAGGAGTCAGCCTTTTCCTGAAGACTTGCCGAGACTCGCTGTTACTTTCCCGGGCTGGAGAGACTAGGGTAGAGACACAGCCAAATTTATTCCGGAGGACTTCACACAGCTGACTCTCATTATTTTTTAAAATTTTGAAGTCATTGTGATTAACGGGTATTTGCCAAATATAGTTTTCTCCAAGAATGTCCGTCTCTGGAAAAGGAGAGAAGATTAAAAAAAAAAATCAAGAAATGAGCAAGGGTTCTTTTGAAAAGAATGTAATTCCGCTTCACATGAGGAGAATGAGTGTCCTATATACAAAAGAGAGAGGAACTTCCTCTAGCCTCCTTCCTGATTCTCTTTCTCACCTAGATATGTAATTAGACCAAGAATACTCAAGAGTTTTCAATGATAAATCACCCATGAAGTGCTTAGTCTTTTGTCTGGCATATAGTAAATACTCCATTAAGTGGTAGCTACTCTACTATGATACAATGATGGTGGTAAGAAAACTATGTATTTGGGGGCTCATGAATTTTATTTATTTATTTATTTAAAATATATCTTTATTGATTTCAGAGAGAGAGGAAAGGAGAGGGAGAGGGAGAGATAGAAACATCAATGATGAGAAAGTCATTGATCGAGCCCACAACCCGGGTATGTGCCCTGACCGGGAATCGAACCCCGATCGCCTGGATCCTAGGTCAACGCTCAACCGCTGAGCCACGCCTGGCTGGGCTATTTTTTGTTTAAATATATATTTTTTTATTGATTTCAGAGAGAGGAAGGGAGAGGGAGAGAGAGAGAGGAACATCAATGATGAGAGAGAGTCTGATGAGAGAGAGTCATTGATCGACTGCCTCCTGCACGCCCCCTGCTGGGGATTGAGGCTGCAACCTGGGCATGTGCCCTGACCAGGAATTGAACCTCCATCTCCTGGATCATAGGTTGATGTTTAACCACTGAGCCACACTGGCTGGGCAGGGGCTCATGAATTTTAAAATCCACATAAAAATGGTAAGCTTGGGAAGAACCATGTTTAAGGCACAAATGTTGAAAAGGAATTAATTATGAGTCAAAATCAAGTGGAGGCTTTATTCATAACTTGTTTGCTTAGTCTTAGTGCCACAGTCTGGGTTCTCTTAGAAGCAGACTCTGAGATAAGGATTTGAGTGTAAATTTACTTGGGAGTTGATCCTAGAAAATATCAGAGGCATGAGATGGGAGGGCAGAGTAAGAAAGTAAGACAGAAAAGGGAAGGAAATGAACAAAGGATGTGTTACAAATCAAATGAAACTTGACTCCACCAGGCGACAGTGTGTCTTAGAGTTATATCACCAGAAGGGAAAGGAGTTGGAATATTCATCCAACTTCTGTCAGTCATTGGTCAAGGATGTTCTGTGGGGGGCATGGTCCAGCAAATGGGTAGAACATCATACTCTAGTTTTGTGGAATTAAAACTGATTGACTAAAAATTATTTACTACATGTGGCGGAAAAGAAGATGTGATTCCCCCTTCAATATGGTTATGAAGGAGGGACTACAGTTAGCCACCAGCTGCCAGTTGTTAGCCCCTCAGGGTCCATCTCAGCTTTCCAGCCAAGGCCATCCTATTTTCAGAGTGGCCCCCATCAATGGCTGATCAAGGTCATTTATGTCTAATGTGGGACTTTCCTGATGGGCAATCTAAGACTGGCAGAGCTTCATCAGGTTTTCCTTACAGTCTGACAGCTCCACCTATTCAATCCAGTTTCTTCTCTTTTCCTTTCACGATAAACCTTTTGCATTCCTAACTCCCTCTCAGTTTCTACCTTCCTTAAGAACCCAACCTGTGACACTGTATTTCATGGAATCTAAGACATCATCATTATTGTTTTTTAATCTTCACTCGAGGACATGCTTAGAGAGGAGAAGGGAGAGAGAGAAACATCGATGTGAGAAACATTGATTGGCTGCCTTCAGTATATACCTTGACCAGGGATCAAACCCACAACCCAGGTATGTGCCCTGATGGGGAATCGAACTGGCAACCTTTTGGTGCAAAGGACAACTGACAACTCAACCAACTGAGCTACTCCAGACGGGCTAAGACATCATTATTATATGCCACTTAAAAACAATGCCGGTTAAACCATGGCACACTAATGATTGACAGAGAATAGCTGTATTTCAGAGATGTGAAAAGCTGTGTGTTCTAAAATAGGTAAAATGTAGTAATTATATTTTACTTTAACTCCCATTTCTAATCTCAGCCACCTAGAAAAACCTCTGGTGGCTTCATTTACCTAAAAGAAGCAGCATGGGAGTAGCCAGATCCCACTGGCCTGCACTTTGGTTGAAAATTCAAGTGGGCCATCCTTAGAATTAGGCAAGTTCCATTTGCCTCTTACAGCCCTTGTTGAACAAGGGACAATCAGTGGATCACCTCTTCTGACCAAGTTCTCAGGCTGTGGTCAGAAGAGTCTCACATCTTGTGGGCAAAGCAAGGGATCAATGGAAACCCTAAGAGAACGAGCCTGCTGATGTACACTGGCCCTGAGGCAGTTCCCCTTCTGAGGCACCGGGTTGCCATAAGGTCCTGCAATCACGCACCTGAATGCTTGCAGGGGAGACAGTCTCGTTCTGTATTCCCCTTTTTCCACTGAGGATAGATCTGAGCAAACAATTTCTGACACAAGACTGGGATTAAGTTGGTACTACCTGACTTCTCATTGTAAGCTGCTGCTCCAGCACCCTGTGAAAAAAAATGGAAACTGAGTGACTACAGATTACTGATAACAAATACAGTTTAATAATCACAACGCAACAGAAATTCTACTAAAAGCCCTGGGTTTGAGGGGGAAGTGGAACACGTTTGTTCATTTGTTTAATCTGTGTGCCTGACATACTTGAAATACTAAATGTTTAGCAAACATTGACCCTATGCGGCTTCCTAGGGGGCCAATCAATGCATTTCTAATTCAGGCTGAGCTGAAGGGTTAGAGATTAACACTGGTAAAGGCCCAAATGTCACAGACCAAAATGACCCAAAGCTTTCTGACAGACCTCCAGTTTCCAAAGGCTTGTGGGTTTTTTCTAGACAGAAGACTTGGGGACATGAGCTTCATCAGCTACACCTCCCCATCTACCAGTAAGGACCCACTTTCAATTACTTATTTCATGACAAAAGCATGAATGTAGAATTTTATGGTTAAACATATGAGGTGTTTTTTCTCTATTTCTTTGTTTTTATTCTTCCTCCACAATCCTCCTCTTCCCATCCTGCAAAAGCAGAATTGCTGAATGAGTAGACAAAATAAAAATGACACCAAGGGCACATTTTTACAAATCATCCATCCTTCTGGTGCCTCCATTGATTAGATTAGCGTATTCTTTATTCCCTTTGTCTCACATGGTGTAAGGAGAAACTTTTATTGGGCTACTAATACCAAATCAAAGACCCAGATTTCTTACTGTTATAGGAAGAACTATTCATGTGCTGATCAAAGTTCATGATTTATATACGTTTATATATAAGTACTTTTACCTTGGAAAAGTCCATCCTTCAGGGCCCTGGGGTCTTCAAATCTTTACACTCTGTTTTGCTTTTCCAATATAGACTGCTGTTCCCAAATATGGGGGCCCACTTCTAGGAATGAACACAAAGGATGCAATAAGCATTGACCAGCATCTTAGGGAATTTGGTAAGAATGCATCATAGGAAGACTGAACATGATTTCTGATCTTGAGTAGGTTTTAGTTTTACTGGTGAAAAGGCAATATTGTTTTGCTGCTATAGTTACTATTTACCTTCTAACCTTTACAGAGAGGTTCCAATTGAAATCGTAATGGCAATTCAGAGAAGGGAAAGAGCCATGTGGGCTACAGCAAGGAAAGCTTTAGGGAGAAAGTGAGACTAGAACCAGACCTTGGAGGATGGAACAGGTTCTTACATAGTTAGAAGAGCAGATTGATACCAAGTGGTAAGACTGGGCACAGCATTCAAAAAAGCAATGAGGAAAAACAAGCCTTATGAGTGAGTGTAAAGAACCCTGGAGAGTGTCTGAAGAAAGGAACTGTACTTATGCCTATCAGGGTGTGTGTACTGAGTTTGTAATAAATTCCTTGATCTAATAAGGAAGGGGAATATTTGGATAAAAATCAGAAACTCTGGAAAAACTATTTTAATGATTTTCCATCTAATAGGTAGAAATGAAAATGCTTAACGACACAGTAGCCTATACTTGCTGCCCACATAGTTGCCAAAAGGCCTCTAAAATGATTTGCAATGCCTTTGCAATAGAAAAATTTTGTGCGGCTATGTACAGCATCAAAGCACTATTATTCTTACAGGTCAGGAAAAACAGCAAGTCCCAAACAATCCTACAGTAAGAGGACAAGATGAATTTTTGCCTCCAGAGGGCACTGCTGTTTTCACAAAAGAAGGAAGTCTGTGTTTGCTTTGGCAGCAGGCTTCCAGTGGGCTTTTGCTTTAGATGGTATTTCACTTGTTTTTTCCTTTAGATCAGGCTTTAAAGGCATAGGGATAGACTTGAAGGGGGAATATTTAATCCCCTTCCCAACTTTCCATCACTGGTTCCTACTGTGTTCTTTTCTCTGCATGGGCAACATGAAGAAGTTGACTCTCCTCCATCCATCTGCCTGCTCAGCCCACTGTAGTGGGCTCCTGCCTCACTCCCAGCACTCCTCTGAAACTGATCGTTAGTGTCCTCCATGAGGTTAATCCCAATACACTCTCTTCTGTTCTAATCTTTGTTTGACCTCTTTCTTTGGATCCTAAAACTCTGCTTTCTTAGCTTCTCCTATGCCATCTTCCCGTGGTTCTTTTGTAACCTTTCACTTTACCTTTATAGGCCTTTTGCCTAGATTCACCTCCCTACCCTTATATGACCTCCAAAATCCATGCTTTCTCTCCTCGACTCCACAGTTCAATCAGTGATACACCATTTATCTACTCAAGTCAGAAATCTAGAATCTTTTCTTTTGNAAAATCCATGCTTTCTCTCCTCGACTCCACAGTTCAATCAATGATACACCATTTATCTACTCAAGTCAGAAATCTAGAATCTTTTCTTTTGTGCCATAACCAACCCATCAACTAGGTTAGAACACCTAAGTCACTCATGCCCCTACACTCCTTGCCCATTGACCACTTCAGGGCCTCAGGACCTCTTGCCTGAGCTATGTCAATACACTCTCTTTAAAGATTTAAATGTATTCAATTTACATTTTATTTTTGGATAGGTATTATGTTTCCTGGATTCAATTTAGAGGTGTGAAAGGCTCCCTCCGACCCCTAACTGCAGAATCGTAAAGTCTATGCAGTTGTAATTCTGATAGTACTGCCAAATTGCTCTCCATAAAGACTGACCCATTTCCAGTCTTACCAGCCATGTGAAAAACCTTCTCTGGCCTCTCTGCCTCTATTGATCCCTGCTTGGAAATGTTCCTCCACATGGCTGTCAACACCATTTTTCTAAAATGCACATCTGACAAATCACTCTCCTGTTTCCCCTGCTCACAACCCTTCCATTTCTCCCCACTGATCTTCCAAGACCTTTCACTACCTAGACCTGTGCTGTCTGTCCAATGTGGGCCATGAGTCACATGCAACTCTTAAGCTTCTGAAATGTGGCTAGTCCCAAAACTGAGATGTAAGTGTGAGATAAACACTGGATTGAAAAGACTTAATATGACAAAAGGAATGTAAAAATATGTCATAAGTTTTAACACTGACTACATGATGAATGATTAATTTAGGATATATACAAATTAAATGATTAAATTTAGGATATAATGAGTTAAATAACATCATTAAAATTGATTTCACCTGTTTATACTTTTTAAGTTATGGCTCATAAAAGCTTTTAAATTACATATTTGGCTCCATTATATTTGTACTAGACAGCAATGATCTAGCCCTTCCTCCATCACATCCCTTACCCATCTCATTCTCCTCCAAGGCTCCAGTGCTCGGTTTGTGCTTCAGGTCACAATGGTCCCTGTGTCTCAGATGCCACCCACCATCCCCACCTCCCTTTACTCTCCGGTGAGGTGGGGGGCTCCATGATCACCTTTATTCCCTAGTACACAGTGGTCCATACTGTTTGGTCAAGTCCAGGAATGAGGGCATGCAGACCCCGAGAGCCAGTCTAAAGGCTAAAGTTGGAGGGAGGTAACAGGTGATATGTCATAACGCAAGTGAACGCAATTTTTAAAAAAATGCAGGTATTAATCTGAATTCCAAATGGGAACTACATTTTAGCTGCGTGTAATGGTAACACCACCAAGAGCTCAAAGGAATCACCGACTCAGGAGAAACTTGGACTTCAGCCTCTCCCCGGTCTCATCCTCACATGGGGGGCCTGGCCCTGGCGCCCGCTGCCAGCCCGCGCGCCCGCCCAAGCCCGCGCCCAAGCCCGCGGGAGAGGAGACCCCCGGGCGACGGT